TGTGTGTGTGTGTGTGTGTGTGTGTGTGTGTATGTGTGTTTTCCTGCTCTCAATTTGCTATCTCGAGCTCTCGAATTAATTAACTTGTACACAAGTTTTAGTTATTTGTGCCCAGAAAACCAGATACAGTACTTTTGTAGAGGCGAAAATACTACGGTATTATGGTAACAAATAAATTCGCTGAAATATCTGTACAGTAATAAGGTGGCTCCCATTCTAATCTGAATGTTCTTCTATATCTGACAAATAGCCACACAAAGTGTCAAAGTCCTTTGGTGGAGATTAGGGTTCACGGTCATGAAAACCAATGTACTGTAATAGATACACGTGTATACCACTGAGCCCATATCGTCCTAATGCATATGTCCTCCATTACAACTTGGTCATATTCTACTTGATTTGCTACATGTCCACACAAAGTATCAAACAAATCTATGGCGGAAATTAGTGGTTATGGTATTTCTAATTCTTAATACTGCCAATGGTAATAACCAAAATGTATACATTTCCGAGCCTTTATAATAATACATACCGTCAGTTTGCGAAATACGGGGGGGTCCGGGGGGGTCCGACACCCCCGATTAACCCATGAGACCCCCTGAAAGCCTCAAAAGCAAAATTTTAAGGGGGTCTCAAGATCTGCATTGCGCAACAATAGGGAGATGGGGACCCCCCCCCCCGAATATTGACGGGTGTTTCGCACACTACATACCGTCTCCCATTCCAGATGTATTCTCCTGTATTTCTCAATGAACAAAAACTACGCTTTTTGGTCATTTAGTTAGGATTTCCATATTTATATATCAGGTACTTTTTATGGATTTGCCCTTTTTTAAAATTCAGTGAAAAATTATGGTAACTCGATGGGGCACAGATATTCTCAGTAGTAACTCAGTTACTGTACTAATGACTGTGGTGGACGAAATTTGACATAATCATAAATAAATAAACCAACAGTAAAGTTTATTTACATAAATTTAATTTAATCTATTCCATAGATTTATAGAGAAAAAACATTTTCTATTGAAAGATTTTTGGAAAAATACATTTCATTTTTTATTCCAAAGGTTTTTCTTTATTGTTTTTTGTATTCCAAAGATTTTTTCATTCATCTGTACGTAAATGAGGTGGGCAGCTCTAACCCTTTTTCTAAAGCGCTATTGGCCAGGGGACTTTGTTGATCTGCGTTCCATTACCTTGGCCTTGCTAGCTGGCATTCATGTTGGTGATGCTACGTTCGCACTGCACGACTCTCCGGGTCATCAGATTGCTATACCGTTCATATGTATGATTCCATTTATGCCAAAAAATAAATGTTTTGAATTAAAAATTAAATACATTTATTTTTCAATAAATCTTTGGCATTGAAAATTAAATAAATTTATTTTTCTATAAATCGTTGGAATGAAAAATTAAATTTGTTTTACTATTGATTTATTTATTTATGATTATGTCACATTTCATTCATTTCACATTGCTGGAGATAAATGATGCATCACGATCCATTAATGAACAAACATGAGATCAGTAGCTCACTTGTTTTGTTCATTGCTTTTTCCTTCTGTTCTTCCCTCAGTATTTCACAAAGTCTTACAGAATTCTAACAGATATAGTAACCAATACAGTAACTGCCTGAGAGAAAACATGCGTCACGATTCATTAATGATGAATTAACAAGAGATCAGTATGTAACTAAGTCTGTGGTTAATTGATGCATAAGTAATACCATAATACTATATTACTTGTGCCCCGTCAAATAAAACATTACCTGTGGAAATCGGAACTGCCTTTTGGCTACAGACATCTTTCGTCCGGGAGGGGGAGAAGCAGCAGGCCAAAAGAGCATCTCCTGACTCAGGTCCGCTGAATGCAGCCCGAGATTGGGAAATGCAGGTGGACCTAAATCAGAGGCTCACTTTCCCACCGCAGCAACCAACCTGCGGCCAGACCTGGTCCTTTGGTCCAAATCTTGTCGACATGTTTTCATTATGGAGTTGACAGTCCCATGGGAGGAAGCAATCGATGAGGCATTCGAAAAGAAAAAGATGCGATATGCAAACCTGGCAACTGAAGCAGAGGACCGGGGATGGAAAGTATTTGTGCGGCCAGTGGAGGTGGGTTGCAGGGGCTTTGTAGCTAGTTCCACCACAAGGCTACTGAAGGAGGTGGGAGTTAGAGGGCAGACTCAGCAGAAGACCATCAAGGAGCTTGCAGATGTTGCCATAAGAAGCAGCCATTGGCTGTGGCTGAAGCGGAAGGAGACAGGTTGGGCTACTCGTGGGGCCTCCAGTGCGGCACACACCCAGGTCTGATCAGCCTGTGGTGGGCCGGCCTCGAGCGAGGGTGTATGGTGATAAATGGCCGAAACACCCAATGACCCCAGGGTACACAACTGACGATGTGTCGTACTGGAGGCAGAGCACCGTCAAATGAAAACCCATGAGGTCACCTACCTAAGAGGAAATCGCCATACAGTACTGATCATCAAGGGATTTTAACACCTAGTCCTAGTCGACGACAACTAGTATTCGCGCACTTAAAACTATGTAAGGATGCCTTGATTGCAGTTCCAATATTCCAGCTCCTGGTTTTGCGGCACAAACAGCCAAAACGTGGGCACAACTTAACTAATTCGAGAGCTCAAAATAGCAAATTGAGAGCACAAATAAAAGTACTTTGCACATTTTAGGGATTTTGTGAGCTCGATTTACTATTATATATGTATTGTGATCTTAAATATCAAAATATACGTGTGTAAAATGTAACTATAAAAACATAACATATGTTGTAATGTCCTATTGAGAAATTTCCTGTTGAGAGAATCAGCAGTTGACCAACGTATCTGTTTTTTTCCACCCCCAGTTTTTCTTTTCTGGATTATTGTCTTTCCTGCTGTACAAATTCCCTGCATTCCTACAGGTGAGTAGGCCTGTATTTGTAGTTGAAATTTAAGTAAACGGCATTTCTTGGGATAATAATAATCTGTTTATGGGAACATTGGCACATCGGGAGTACAGCGGGAGGAGGGCTGGGTAATTAGGAGACACTCGGGGAAATCCGACGTGTTGGCAGGTATGCTGGTTTCAGAATTCAAGTGTAAAGGACTCCTGTGCACAATCATACTATAAATCAAATTAAATTTATATAAGTAATATAACACACAAAACCAAAGCAAGAGATGCCAAATAATTACCAAGGATTCCTCAAATAGTATCTGTACTTTACAGAGGTTAGCAAAGTGAGCGATTGAGTTACATTTTTGTGTAATTCACAAAGTTACTGCTTATCTGAATGCAAAGTTATTCTAATACTAACAGCACAGATGTATATTAATCATACCTCATCAGTGAAAACTGTCCCATTGAGGACGTCGTCCTCCAGCCCTGTAGAAGACCCCTCCCATCCTTCACACTCTCTCTGTACCCCTCCCATCCTTCACACTCTCTCTGTACCCCTCCCATCCTTCACACTCTCTCTGTACCCCTCCCATCCTTCACACTCTCTCTGTACCCATCCCATCTGGCAGAAGCTACAGGAGCATCTAAGCCAGTGTTTCCCAACCCAGTCCTCAGGGAACCCCGGACAGTCCAAAGTTTTGCTTCCTGCCAGCTCCCAGCCAATCAGGAACACCAAATACCTGGTACAGATACGCTGGGAGCTGAGTGGAAGCAAAAACATGGACTGTCTGAGGTTCCCCGAGGACTGGGTTGGGGAACACTGATCTAAGCTTTTTCCCTCTGAACACTTTACCACCCCCATTATAAACCTGGCTTACCACCAGCACTCACCATTGTTTCCAGTGGACACTGCCCAACACTGGACCTTTTCCTGCATCTGTGTCACATCTGT